AAGTCCACTCTCTCCATTCTTGTTCAATATAGTACTTGAAGTCTCAGCTAGAGCAATAAGGCAAAAGGAGATAGAGGGGATACAAATCGGAAAGGAAGAGGTCAAACTGTTCTTATTTGAAGATGATATGGTAGTACACAATAAAGGCTCCATCTGAAAACTAGAGCTGATAAATTTATTCAGTAAAGTAGGAGTATGTAAAATTAACACAAAACTCAGCATCCTTCTTATATACCAATAACAAGCATAGTGAGAAAGAAATCTTGGAAGCAATCTCCTTCACGAGAACCTCAAAAAGCATAAAATATCTTGGAAAATATCTAATCAAGGAAGTGAGTTTTATAATTAAATTTTTAAGACAATAAATAAAGAAACTGAAGATACTAGAAAATGGAACGACCTCCTAAGATCATGGATCAGTAAGCTAATATTGAGAAAATGGTTATGCTGCCAAAAGCAATCTACAGATTGAATGCAATCTCCATTAGAATTACAGCATAATTATAATTCTTAACCAATTTTTTTAAATCTCAAATTCCATACTGAAACAAAGAACCCAAGATAGCCAAACCAATCCTGAACAATAATTTCTTATTTCTGATACACTTTTGTCAGATGATCATTTACTGACAGAGACCTAATTTTTATATTCTCTTTTTGTGGTTTTCATTGCTACTAAGTAATATATAAATATGGAATACACATATAGATATGTATATGTAAAGATGTATATCTTTTGCCCACATGATTTTATATACATGTATATTATATGTGTAGTACATAAGTTTGTGTATATGTGTGTATATATGTGTGTATCTATCTATCTTGATATAAAATCTTTCTCACTCTGTTGACTCACCATAGCAATTTTGATGGCCTTTATAATAAAACCCTACTTTAATTATCATTTTTCTCTCTCCAATTATGATGCTAACCCTATCATCACACACTTTCTACTTTCAAGTTTATGGTTTTGTGTGCATAAAAACATACCTTCAAAAAGAACCCTTTTTATTTTCCACAATTTCTTTCTTATCTAATTACATTTGAAATGGAATTTTCTTTAAATGATGTATCTAAATATTATTTCCTTTGTACTTCATTTCTTGATTACATCACTGATAATGGAAGGCTTATTCATTTGAAGCATTTTTTTCAGCATAAATAATGCTTCTTTGGTGACACTTGGCCATGTGTAATATTCACGTTTGAATTATAAAGTCATAGATTACAGATAACTATCTTTCTAAATGATAATTTATGACAATCTATAAAATGCAAACTGATATTATAGCACAAATTTACAAATGCTGTAAGACTGCATCATTTTTTTTTAACATCTTAAAATAAGTGCACAGGAATTACTAGACCTGGGGTGGCTTCTGCTTGAGAATTCACCTTAAATTTCTTTCAAGACAATCTAAGATAAAACATGTAGATCACAGCCTTAGGAAAGGAAATGAGTGTATCAAATCCTACCTTCTGCGATTCTTCAATTTCTAAAAGTCTATCTTATTGCCCATATTTTGCCATCTTATATGTCTGTATTATGCTTTCATTCCATGGAAGTTTTCTTATCTGTGACATATATTTTTGCTTTTTATTCTGGCAAAGGCAAAAGGCTAAATAGATGCTATACATAACTCTTCACACAGTTCTCTTCTGTCATGAGATTCTGTTTCCATGATCAGTTTTTTTCCCCCAACAAGCAACTGGATGTCAAACCATGAGTATAGAAACAAGATATATTTATAGCCTTTCCACCTCTAGGTTGAAAGTATGAAACCACACATGAGAGACTCTCATACTGTAAGGTTTTTCCATAAAGTTTTAAAAAATAATATTTTTATAAATCTTTGAAAATTTCGAACACTGTATTTTTATCATATTTACCCCATCCCCATCTCCTCTCAAATTAACCCCTGCCTTCCAAAATATTGTGTCACCACCCATTTTAAAAAATACAGACAAAAACCCAGCATAGAACTGGGTAAATGAACAGCAGACCCCAATCTTAGATGAAGAAATATTGCCAGCTGATCACTGCTAGGTGAGGAAGAGCTGATCTTCCTAAAACAAGAGACTCTAGATAGGCTGACTAGACCTCAGTGAATGGACTTGCACTGGAAACATCTGGAGACACTAACTTGACCCATTGGGCCTTAATACAGATGACAGAATATATGGGTTCCAGTGCAGGGGCTATGGGAGGGTGCTGGTAGGGGCAGGGATATAAAGATGATTAAGATTGAGATACTCTGTATAAAATACACAAATTCAGTAAAAAAAAGTTTTTCTTAATTTAAAAAATACTTTATGACTTTTATTTTATGAGTATATTGCCTATATGTATGTAAGTGCACCCGTGTCATGCAATGCCTGTAGAGGTCAGAAGAGGGTGTTAGATCTCCTAAAACTGGAATTAAGGATGATTATTAGCTGCCATGTAGGTACTGGGACTTGAGCCCAGGTCCTCTGCAAGAGCAGTCAGTGCTGTCTGGGCCGTCTCTCCAGCTTCACTGTCCCCCTTTTTAAAAACAATAAATAAATGGAGCCCATCAGGTCTAATTTGTGTCATCCAACTATTCATAGGTGTGACTTTATACCCTAGAGCATGATCAGCCTATGAGGGTTCACACCCTCAAATAAAACTGACTCTCTTCCCAGCAGCTATGATTTGCTAATAGCTCCTCAGTGAGGGGATGGGACTTAGTGCTCACCACCCCGTCCATGCTGGGAGTTTGTCTGGCTTGAGCTTGTTCAGGCCTTGTGTATACTGTGACAATAGCCCTGAATTCCACTATAATCTCTGTGCTTTGCAGGGTAGGGAGTTATAACATAGATGGCCCATGTAGGGCTGAGCACTCCACAGTCTCTTATTCCTGCACATTGTGCAGTTGTGAGCCTCTCTGTTGATTGCTATCTACCTATGTGTAAGAGGAAAAGTCATTGGGTGTCATTTTAATGCTATATCCAATTAGCAGACTGATAGTAGTAGGTTCTGTCATAGGGTAAACATTATGTGCACAGTCTCAAGGTAAAGACAAGAGGAAATACTGTGGTAGGATATTGGCTTCTGGGAACTGAGAACCTGTCCCCTGTAGCTCTACTACTTGAAATCCATGTGATCTCCCTCTTGACAAAGTTAGTATGCTGTCTTCATTTTACCTCAATAGATATTCCAAATTTCTGTCACCTCTAACTTTATGAAGTCTTCATTGAACCTTTAATTTTACTCTCAAAGCTCCAAGAATCACCATGTCAGGAGTTGCTTGCAGAGATTTCAAGCCTGTCAAAAAGCCTTTCCAGCTTTACTTGGTGGAAGATTTCAAGAGCTTATTAGCCTTACTTTCTGCATGTCTGCTAAACCACATCACAGGCCTGGTCTGGCATCATCATGAAATGTGGCAGGAGACCCTGAACTAGTTTTCCATTGTTTTTCTCCTCTGTTTCATTTTTATCCTGATTCTCATTGTAAATATGGCATAAAGCAGCCAAGAATATTCATGCTGCCACTAAATTTCTTCTCTCCAATAATTTGGTCCATCATTTTTAAATTTTGTTTGTAACAGTCTCAGGGCATAGACAAACCACTCAAATTCTTTTTCTAAGGTGGAGCACAATGGCCTCTAGTTCAGTTTCCAACACAAACTACATTTCCACTGAAAGCTCAGCCATATAACCATTACTATCGAATTTCTATGAGCTTTCTGGAATTTTGAACACTCACTAGAAGTACCAGCTAAGCTCCTCTTACATAACTTGGGGACTTTCTCTAACCTATTCTAAAACCTTTTCAAAACTCCATCCATGAGCCAACTTCAAAATCCTTCTGAAGTACATTTATAAGCAGACTCACAGCAATGATCCCCATCCACTTCTTGGTACAAATTTTCTGCATTGTTCAGCTTTCTGTTACATAAAAACACCTAGGACAAATTAACTTTGAATGAAAAGGATATGTTTGACATCTAAACACAAGCTTCTGTCTATAGTATCAATTCTGTCATTATCGGCAAATTACTGTTTTCAGTATGAGAAATATTAGGCAGGACAGTGAACCCTTCACAGTCATATAAGTGATTGTGCACCCTGAAGCACTCATCAGGATGTGAGTATTGGTGGTGCACTGCACCATAAGTTTGATATACAGAGAATTACTCTACCAAATGCAATTAATTATATACAGTCTAGTTCAAGTGGTCCAGGAAAATATTAGGATATCAGAGGAAGAGGTAGCCCAGTTGTGACTGTTCCAATTTCTCCTATAATGCTTTCTCTTTACTAATTTATAGATGTAGCCTCATGTCAAAACAGCCCTGATAAACTGACTGGGGAAGAGAGGAATTAGGCTGGGTACAGATGTTTCTGAGGTGTAAAATGTCTAGAGGTGGGTGGCTAAAGCACAGCAGTCCCTTTCTGGAATATCAGTAAGATTATGGAGAAATCCTTCCAGGTTTGTGAACATTGAGCACTGATATCTGTTGCTCAATAACTGCCTAGGAAAAACAAATGATCAGATGTTAAAGCATATCAGTTTCATGGGCTGTGATGAATAGTTTGGCCTAAATTAAGACACTTGGAAAGAAAATTACTATAAGACTGATAACCAGAAAATCTTGAGAAAAACTATTGATTAACCTCTCTTAGCAGTGGTTGTGGTATGACTCATGGGCTATACAGTATAAAGTTCTGTCTAAAGGACCATACTCATGTGATTTTGAGAAATAAGATAACTATAATACTTAGTAATACATATGACAACAACATGAAACTGTAAAATGTTTCACTTATTTCTGATTTATTTTGATTTGATAAGAACATTTTATTAAGATCTTCACATATGACTATGAATGACCAATACAAATGGTTACCAATATATTAAATGATTTACATATTAAAATTAAGTTAAATAATCTGCAACAATTACAATTTCAAAATTGCTTAAATATGAAATACTGTGACTTTGACTCAAAAGAAAACAGGTATTAATAGGCAATCTAAACAATTCTTTTTAATATTTTTTTCAGAGAATCTATAACTTGCTTGTTTCTCAAACTGTAGATAATTGGGTTTAACACAGGGATAATGACTGTGTAAAACAGAGAGAGAATCATATCTTGATCATCTGCTTGTGAAGATGCAGGGTGCACATACATAAAGAGAAGTGGGCCATAGTACAAAGACACAGATAAGAGATGGGCTCCACAGGTGGAAAAGGCTTTCCTTATGCCCTTTTCAGACTTCTTCTTTAAAATGGTAAAGAGAACAAATGTATAAGATATAAGAATGGTCATAATGGTGAATACTTGTATTGAACCAGAAAAAATAAAAATTATCAGATAATTTATAGAAGGATCAGTACAGGAAATCTTTAACAACGGTATAACATCACAGTAAAAGTGATATAGTATGTTGGAATTACAGAAGGTTAATCTGAATAAAAAGCTTTCATGAATTACAGCATGAAGAAAGCCACCTATAAAAGATAAAACTAATAGGCGGATACATAGTCTGTTGGTCATAATCACTGGGTAAAGTAAGGGTTTGCAGATAGCTGCATAGCGGTCATAAGCCATTGCTGCCAAAAGAAAACATTCTGCGGTTACACTTATTGCAAAGGAAAAGAATTGTATCATGCATTCAGAAACAGAAATCACCTTTCCCTTGTCTAGAAAGTTGAGCAGCATCTTTGGTGTCACTGTGGATGATAACCAAGTATCCACAAAGGCTAAATTACCAAGGAATAAGTACATGGGGATGTGAAGGTGAGGGTCGTTCAGGATAAGAGTGATCAAACCAAGGTTCCCCACAATGGTGATGAGATATATTAATGAAAACACCAGGAACAGTGGGATTTTCCACTGTGGTTGACGTGTCAGTCCTGTGAGAACAAGCTCTGTCCACAGTGTTGCATTCCCCTTTTCCATGCTCTCACTGAAGTCCCCTGAAATGGAATGTAACACATACAATACTGTAGTCACTAGGGTTTAGGGTGGAAAAATTGAAGAAATCTCTAGCATTGAGGTTATATGATATATTTTTCTTATTGTCTTTGTATCACCACAACAAATCTCTGGAAATAAGAATGTCTAAAAAAGATTAAATATTTTATTTACTTTTATTTTATGTTTATGTGTGTTTTGCCTGAATATATAGCAGTGCAACATGGAGGCCAGAGGAAGGCATCAGATCTCCTGGAACTAGAGATGGTTGTTAGCCTCTATGTAGATTCGAACTGAAGTCAGGTCCTCTGAAAGAGCAGCAAGCACTCTTAACCACTGAGATATCTCTCCAGCCCAATAATTTTTAATTAATTCCCTAAAGTTATGAGTAAGAAGCAACAGATTAAGATAGAATGACAGGGCTTCTAAGCTTGTAGTAAATTTATTGGAAGCCCTGATGTCACTAGAATTTTTTGTTCTGGATATGGATCAGGGCCAAGAGAAGAGTTATTTGACTCCACTGGGTTTTAAACTGAACTATGTGCCATGTGCAGGAATTTGTCCTTTATTCCTTAGAGATAGCCTTCTAATGAAATTGTCAATATGTGTGATAATTTGATTAAAAAACACTTTTAATTAAATATTTTCTTTTGCACAAAAAAGGCTTTAGAGATGGAATATTAGAGCCAGGGACTTTAATTACTGTCCTAAGAGCCCTAAATGAAATTGAACATTTTTGATGGTCCAACATAACTTTATACACAAAATATAAATGATTAAGTACTACTCTAGCAAGAGTCAGGAGTCAAATAAATTGGGAATACATGTCTTAAAATGTTTCTCTGATATGTCAACATAAGTACAATGCTTAGTCTATACATTATAAGACATTTATACTGATAAGAACATGGTTAGATAGGTTCAAAAGAATTGAGGATGTAGCTCACTAAATTTCAGGTACATATTAGGAATCAAAGATTGGGATACAGAAAGAAATCACTTGGTGATTGGATCAGTGGTAATCAAATAAAAAATGGTATCTTCATTGTCAAATTCCTCAAAGCAGCATCCGTTCAACATTAAAATGGAATTCAATTAGGAATCTGTATCTGTTACACACTAAAATAAGAAATGACTTGGTGCAATTAGAGTAGTGGGATGCAGAGTTATGGGTAGCCTACTCATTAGAGTGTAAAAACAAAGAAAAGAGAAAGAGAAGAGACAGTACTGAGAAAGTTATGTCAAGGAGACTATAACATGACAAATTAAATTATTAGGTAGACAAATACGAACCACAGTTTAACTCAAGAATCATTTTTCTAGTCAGAAGCTACCATCCACTCAGGAAGCCCAAATGAGTAGACACTCATTTTCGAATGCTCCCTCTAACAAGAGTGAAGGAGCTTGATCTGAGTTTGCCAAGTCAAACCCATGCTTATAGGGTGACACAAATGAGAGGGTCAAAGAGACTGAGAAAACAACAAAGGCAACCACATCAGGACTCCACTCAAAGCGGGCTGCACCCACACCAGTGGCAGCGTCTGACTGAGATGGGGCATCTCAACTCAACAGCTGTTACTGAAGTATGTTTGGAACATGGTCATGTCTCCTGCTTGGCTGTCTTGCTTCCCTCTGTTTCTGCTCATTTTTTCAATCTCGTTTCTTAAAACTATTTCTGTTTAACTAAATTGTTTTACAACCTAACCCAGAGCACTTGGTTGACAAATTTTTTAAAAATGCAATTCTAGAAAAAAAGATATTGGCAGAGTGATCCTACAAGCAACTGAAAGCTGGAAACCTGAGGGCTGTGGCCAGAAAAAGAATATCCTCAAGAACAGAGTGAACTATGATATCAGAGACTAAAACAAATGCTCCAATATGATGGGAAATTATTGGATATATATCTCTGTGGGAAATCAGAAACTTTCAGTGTCATAAATGACTACATTTTCTTTCACAAAATAGAATTATAACCAGAGTGATTCAGAAAAAAACATCACGGCAGTAAGGGGATTGGAAGAACATATGCTAAATGTGAACAGTAGGAATTTACATCCTGCCTGTGGTCATTGCAATTCATTTTTCCTATAGATCAGTTTAATAAAAGTCATGGAGAAGAAGAGATGAGGGAAAAGGGAACTGATGTGGAGTAGGAGAATTTGAAAGGTAATATGACATGAGTAAAATGAAGACAGGAGGAACAGAGAAGTTAGGCAAAGTACAGAGATATGCGGGTGTGTGCAGAAAAGTCAAAGGGAAAAAGTAGTACCTGACCCAGCCTGACTATGAGGTAAGGCTTTGGATGTTAGGTACAAGTTTCTCTAATCTTAAAGCTCATCAAAAGTTGTCATTAAGCTACTTTGCTCCTTTCTTAAATATGATACAAATAAATCCCTGATTTAGAACATTGTGTTACAAATCACTTTGTTCTTTAATACATCAGCATTCACTGACTGTCCTTTCCATGCTTAACTTTGCTTATCTTCAAGTATTAAGACAATGTAGGAGCTAATTTTATGATAAAAAGCATGGTATTTGTCAAAAGAGTATATTTCAAACACTATGTGTATCCAATGCTAATGAAAAGTGAGAGTAGGGGATGATGGAATGGGAGGTGTCCTGACAAATTAATCATTCACTGTTTACACATGTGCATCAAAATCCTGAGGTAAACTTCATATTTATGCAATAAACCTTTTTATTGCATTACCTTTTATTACCATAATTAAATGAGATTTAACCTAAAATCACTTTTACTCTCAGAACACGTTCCTTCATCAGTTACTTTTGAATATGCAAAGACAGATTCCTGACAGGGGCAATGTAAATATCAGCAATAATTCCTCTGTCTATGATTTTTATTTTGCATTGGATTCCTTTTATGTAAGTCTAAACACTGGATATGTAAAATTGATCAAATTCAAGTTGTGTATGGGTTCTTGATAAGTTAAAAATTCTGGAAAGAGCAGTTGGCTATTTTCCTCTATTTTCTTGACATGTGCTTGTGTGCATGTGTGTGCGTGCATGTATCTTATTTGTATAGAGCTATCACAATATTGTCAGATGTGATAAAAGTACAAAGCTAATATTTAATTACCATTGAAAATTTTAATCAGAAAAGTTGTAATTAAGCTCATCAAAAGTTGTTGAATATGTCCTATGTAAAAATCATGATTTAATTCTATAAATCCGCTTTAAAATTTTTTAAAGTTCTACCTTGCAAATAAAGTCACTATGATTAGAAAAATAAGATAAATATATCACTAGAGCAAACCCACAAACTACACAGCACTGATACTTATCCAGATTTTCAAACAAAAAGAAAACATGTTTTATCACCGCTTTCCATGTTTACTTTGTTCAATGAAATTGCTATAAATTATACAACAATTTACTTTTCATGTGAAGAACTTAGAAAACACATATATCATTTTTATCTTACCCATATATTGAAAGATGTTGTGGATAAGCTTTAAATTATTAGGCTTTATAAAACAGAAAAATTCATATTAGCAGAGGATCAGTGTCAATAAAAATAGCAATCCTTTGTACACTTTTTCATTTTGAAGATTCTATTTCCCAGCTCCAGTAAAATACTGCTTATATAGGCTCAGAGTACAAAAGCCAATCAGTTGTGAGACTGTGTGGTTTCTCCAAAGGTGAATGGAGTGGAAATGTGAAGTTCCCTTGAGAATCAGAGGGCTCCCTACAGGACAAAGTGGAGTTGTTTTACTGAACATTGAGAATGTGGGTGTGTGAAAGTAGTGTAGGTTCCTATAGGCAAGTGGCCCAAGAGGTCAGCATTTGAGGAATTTGAAAGGGTCTGGAAGGCTAGATGAGAGGCTCTCATCTTAGTATGTAAACATGGTGACTACACATTCATATTCCTTGTAAGTGAACATTTTTTAAGAAAAAATAAATACATTTATATACAACATTAAGATTTGGTGCCTAAGAATTGATTATAATTGTTTCTAGATTAAAGAGGTTTTGTATATATAAAAAGTTATCTTCTGCTTGGCACATACCTGGAAAAATAGGAAGAAAATCAAAGATCTGTACTTTGATAAACTGAGTAATAACTCTATCTGCTTATGAAGAATGTTTCTAATAAGAAAGAAATATGTAGAAAAGAGTGCAGATAAGTGAGGAGCACATGACCTCACAGGGAGGCCTGAAGTGCCAGTGTTGCAGACATCTTTCTCATGCCTCTTTCCTCAAGACCAAGAAGGATGAGGTGCACAGACAGCAAAGAGTGAGCAAAGCAAGGAAGATTTAGTAAGAGAAAGAGAATGTTCTCCAAATTGGAGAGGGGATCTGAAAGTGGACTGCTGAGGAAAAGGCTGTATCTAGGGGGCTCAATGGACTTAGAAGGGATTTAATTGACTTGCATGTATGCAAACTATGTGAGAAGCAAGGATCAGTCAAAAGAGAACCACCACATACTAGAAGGGTTCATAATTGGCTCATGGTTCCATGCCTGCCCCCCACTTGATGTTACAGTGAATGTGAGGGGAGGGGAGTCTGATTGTTTCAAAGCCTAGATAACAGGGACAAACAATTTGTACTGTGTAGTTTCTGCGCTCTGCTTCTGGTCACTGGTTTTGGAGAAGTAGAAGTTGGAGGTACCTTCTGCCTTGATCACAAAATAGCTATTATTGAGACCAGGACCTAACTGAAATCCACTGAAGTTTATCTTGTTTCTTTCCAGTCTTTAATTATAAATTTCTACACTGAAAATACAAATTTTTGTAGTTGTTTGAATCTTTGTAAGTTGAACAATATATTTGTGATTATATTTTTGTTTTTATCTGCATTTATTTACTAAATTTATTGTAGTCCAATTTGTACAATCATTTGATATTCACATTTTTTTAATTTTGAAGTTTTCCAATGGATTTTTGTGAATTTTTATATTTTATCATATTTAAGCATCCTTTCCCCTTACTATCCCCCAGATTTCCTGTACTTTATTTTATATATACATA